GAGGGTCTTTAAAACTTCATGGAAAACGCACAGCAGGAAAACATTATGCATGGATTTCAAAATGCTTGTGTACCAAAAATTAACATGTATTTTCACTCCATTTTTCTTTGAAGTGCCCTTGTAGTCGGTGGGCACACAGTTCTGACCCCACAGTTCTGCTCCTGGAGTGTCCTAAAGCCAGTCCCTGTTGGATCCCGAAGGGCACATGGATAAAGATGCTTATTGTCTGGGAGGATGGGGTGCCGCAGGTGAGCTGCAGTCTGGTGCTGGAGGTGATGGGCAGGCAAAGGGGTAAGCAGGGAGGAGCCACGGCCAGAAGGTACACCTAGGAACATGGACTGAGGGAGAAAAACAAGATAGAAAAGATCTACAGCCCAGCGGCACAGACGCAAACTCCACATACGCAACGCGCTTTTGTGAGCGTGCATGCAAACACAGCATCAGCAGGGAACACTCAGGGTCTTGGCCTTCCACCGTGGTGTGTAGCACCGGGAGACAGGAGCACAGGAGGACATGGACGTACAAGAGGGACGGGCACGGTCAAGGCCAGCAAGGTCGTCAAAGTGAGGAGGGTCAAGTGTGTCCTAATGAAGCCAGATGGCGCTTTTCTCAGAAACCCGGAAGGGTGGCAAACCTGGGGTCATGGTTGAGAGCACCCAGGAGAGGCAAGGGAAGGCCACCAGCTGCCATGGCCCTTCTCTGGGCCGGTCACCTCCGTAGGATGTCACAGCCTCACTCCGCAGAAATCTCAAAGTCCCTCTCAAGGCGGGGGAAAGACTCACCTTTCATTTTACCACTGTAAACCGAAGTAGGCTCGGTCACACTAAGCCACGTGGCCGTGGCCAGGCGTGTCTGTGTCAACACCTGGACACTTGTCTGTCTTAGGGGTCCCTGTTGCCAGAGGCATTCAAGCAGAGGCCTCGCAGCATGGAGCGTCCACAGCTCAATGAAACCCCTGTCTGTTAAGTGGTTCCACCTGCTGGGCCACCTTCCTCGGGCTCCCAGAAAGCTGAGCCTGGATTATGGGGGCTGGGAGGTGTCAGGAGCTGAAGACAGGCTCTCAGCCCTGGGCGTCTACATTCGCAGGGGTCTCTGCATCCCTGGAGGCCCACAACTCTGCCGGGTGCTTCCTAAATTCAGCAGCCTGCACTCGGACCTACATCCAGCTGGGAGGCTGGATGGCCTTTTGGGATCCACGGCTTAGAGAAGCGAGCTGCGGTTTGGGCCCCCAGAGAAAGAAAGGATATTAAAGATCAGCCTCCGTGGTCTCCAACTAGGGTCAGGCTAGCTCGGAAAGTTTCTAGTAGAGTCTGGGAAGTTATCTTCCTGCTTTTATAGGCGCTGGTGTTCAGCCAGAGGGGTTATGAGGCCCCGGGGTGGGGCTGGGGGGCAGGGATGCACCTCACTCAACATGGTTCCCCCCACCCCCACCCCACTCCCCACCCAAAGGGCTGGGTGAAGCGCCTGGCAGATGCTCAGGAAATGCACACTGAATAGAACCCTAGCTGTTCCCCGAAGACCGAACGGTAGGTAATTAATGCCTGCATTCCACTAGGTGCATTCTGAGTGACAATTATGTCGTTAGAGCCACAGAGACCCCGTCCCTTCCAATCAGGTGCTGGAATAGAAAACTCCAGTCTGAGGCCTTTATGTTGCACAGAAGCAGTGTGAAATTCAAGTCCATGATCATTCCCCAGGATGCTTACAAATAGCCCTAATGAAGGCAGGCACGGCGAGTCGAGCGGCAGATGCGCCGTCTGCACTAAGCACGGCGCGAACAAGGCTCTAATCATGGCTCCACTCCACTTCCTTCCCTGCTGCCGATTCTGAGCCATGTTTAGCCTCCAGCAGCAACATGGAGAAAAAAGAGCCAATTCGTTCAGCATTCATGCCCATCGACACGTGGTTTAGTGCCAGTCGACCACAGGTGGAGGGGGAGCACAGGACCTGGGGCTCACCGTGGTGCAGGCCCAAGGTGTGTGCCCAGCAGGACGCTAACACCTGCCTTCCCTACACCACGGGTGGGTCCCTTAGCAATGTGCCTGCTTGGGAGATGGCCAAGAATGCACCCTGTTCATTTGGGATGTGGTCCTAAGACACATTGGTAAGGGTGTGGGCAGGGGAGGGGGAAAGGGGAGGGAGCCAGCAGCAGGTACGTGGCTGAGCAGGGTTTTGGGGGCAACCTAGGTTCTTTCCTGCTGGGGACCTCTGGGAGAAGAGAAGGAGGCTGGGGTAGTCACTTCCCCTCTCCAGCCTCCCTGGGCTCAGGCACACTGCGGGACAGCAGGCCGGCTCCACGCACAGGTCAAGGTTGCGGGAGCGCCTAACATGATGCTGTCCTAGTATCCACCTGCCACACCCAATCTTTGGAGCCCTTGAAAACTGAGTAAACACAGGGAAGCTGAGGGCGGGTGGACAATTCTGGGGGCCCTGGCCCCCTCCCTGGAGTCCGAAAGCCTCGGCGTGCAGAGGGACTGCAGGCTGGCCCCGGCTCCGTACTGTGCAGCGGCTCTGGTGTCCGACATGCACTCATGTTCATGTAAAGACAAAAAGGCGGTTGCAGCGCCAAACAGCCATGTCCCTGGTGTGGGTGAGCTCCTGTTCGTGTTCTTGTGCAGTGCAACCACCGTTCGTCAGACGCCCTGATGTGAATCAAGTCACGGAAAACCACAAGCAAAGGAAGACGCGCTCAAGTGTTCACGAGCAGGACAGCTCACTCTTGGGGTTCCAACGCAGCCCACACTTCAACCCACTGAGCAAACATCTACTGGCACACTGCTCCTGTGGCGACAGCAGCCCAGCGCTTCATGGAACTACAGCTTCCCATTTTCCGGAGGAGCAAACTGAGGCTAGCGAGATAAACTGACTTGCCCAGGATCACGCGGCTGGGAAACTTCAGAGCAAAGACTTGAATCCATCCTCCGCTGCTTTCCCAGGCCATAGCAGGGAGCTGGGTCAGAAGTGGGGCAGCCGGGACTCAAACCAGTGCCTTTATGGGATGCCGGGGCCACAGGCAGAGGCTTAACCTACTATGCCACAATGCCGGACCCATCCTACATATCCTTCAGTGTGGGGAGCAGCTATCAGGGGTGTATGACGGACCAAAAGGCACCCAGGGTGTCACTACACCAGGAGAACCGAGATGTAGCTCAGAAATACATCATGCTTTTTATAAAGCGCTTATCATAATTGCTACTTCCTTGTGGAACAAAAAATAAAGGCACACATTTATATGTGTTACCTCATCTCATTCTCCCCACATCATAGGCAGGATCCTGTGCCTATTGTACAGTGGGGACCATCAAGACTCACAGAGGCCAAGTCGCTGGCCTGGTGTCCAACAGTGACTCAGTGACTTGGGCTCGGGTGAGCTGGACCAGAAGGCACAGGCTCTGTACGGTTTGCTGTTCTGCCTTTAAACTCCAGGGGTGCCTCAAACCAGTCCCTGGAGCTGGTGTCTAAACTGAACACGAAAAATGAAATGGCAATAAAATTGGCAGGCCCTGGTGGCTATGATGGGCCAATCCATATTGCACAAAATGCTCTCCTAAAAAGATAGGATTTGCGAACCGGAAATGTGACATGAGAATTGACTTGCAATCACTCACACACACACACCGAAAGTTAGTATCTCTGCCACGACGCCTACTTTGTTCAACCAACGAGGAAGCGATGCCTTAACAAATGGGAAAATAACCACCTTTGCCTGAGATTACATCCTTTGTGCACGTGGGCGAGCTGACATGCGCTCCCACGAGCGGCCACGGGAAGACACATGGGTCAATCTTCAGGGCTGGCTGGAGGCCACTGCACTGCCGGTCACCTCTCCTGATTGGTCGGCGGCCTGGTGGGGTTTGTCCGAATGAATCTGAGTGGCTCGCTTTAATCCCTTGCTTGCCCTGGATGACTCTGGGATCTGCCCAGGGAGAGTGAACGCGGCAGGCACTGCTCTTGTTTCTGGATTTTTCCGGAAACATCCAGATCATGCAAAACAGAGTGCCATCCAGTGGTTTTGGCTAACAGCCTTGCTAATGACTGTTCTGGGGTGAACTGAGGTCCCAGCCTCCAGGAGCACCCAGCCCTGCTCCTCACGGTGCCGGAGGACTCTTGACAAGTCACCGTCCTCCCTGGGCCTGCATTTCCTGCCCATCACACAAGGCGCTGGGTCTCAGTGGTTTCTTAGTCCCCTTCCAACTCAGACAGCAGCAGCAAAGTCCAACAAATAAATTGATTTCTCCAAGACACAACTGGGCTATAAAGTGAGTGTGTGTTTGTGTGTGTGTGTGTGTGTGTATCTCAGCGGCTAGGGGGTGGGGCTATAACAGAGGGAAAGCCAATGCAGCCAATGGGGCCTGGTGCAGATTCTCCAGCCAGCCATCTGGAAAGAGGGGATCAGCACAGACCTGCAAGCAAAGCTTGTGCAGGACTGTTGTTAGATGCTGGGGGTATGACAATAGTCTAGTGGTTATGTTCTTAAAAGTCCTTATCTCATAGAAATGCACACAGGGGTATTTATAGATTGAAATGAGATCACGTCTAGGAGCTGTTTTAAAACACTACAGCAGAGAGGGGAGGGAGACGGGGTACGTAAACATACAACAAGCTCGGCGAAATGTTGACAGTGGTGGCGGCTGGGTGATGGGGCTCATGACGCCGTTCTCTCTGTGTGAGAGGCTGTTGAACCATTTCCACAACCCCGAATAAAAGCAATGCATGGCTTCCCAGCAGAGTGAGACTTAACCCCACCCCCTACACTTCTAGAAGCCTCTTGGAGCCATACGGAAGAATCAAGGAGGCCGGAGAAGAAATGCAGCTGAAAAAAATCCATGGCCCAGAAGTGGAAAGCAGTGTTTTCACAGAGAAGTGTTCCTTCCCGACTCTTCCTGCCTTCATCTGGAATATCATATTTTCATTTCCTTTGAGGCATTTTATTGCAGAAACACAACATCACTGAATATAAATTGCATCGACTTGAAAAGAAGTAGCATCAAAAAGCCTACCTTGAAATTGAGTAAACTTAATGGTCCCCATTCTCTCCCCATTCCGGAACACCACTTGACCCTAAAGACAAAACAAGACAGACAAGAACAGAAGAGAAATGCCATATTAGCCCAAACACCACTGATCTCGGTTACAATTCATTAATTGTACAATGTGATTGTTAGTATTAGAGAAAAAAAAAAACCCAGACTCCCATTGGGTTACAGATGCAAAATCAAAACTAATTGTTTTTAAATTAGTTATGGCTTTATCTGGTTAATCTGAGCACAAAATCAATAATGGAACCCACACATGTGAATCGAAGCCGAGATAAGCACCATCGTTAGCATCGCGGCTAATTTATTACCCACCCCCGTGGTGTGTTAGCCAGGGTGTTGGAGACCAGGAGGCAGAGGGGAGAGGGGCTCAGAGCCTGCCCCTGACTCTGCCCCCCAGGTCCCCCCTCAAAGACAGGAGGCTTTGCCGAAGCTTCCTCGGCTTGAGGATGGGGAGGGTGCTGGGGGTTAGTATTTCTCGCTGAGGACACAGAATGTTTGTGTAAGTCCTTCTAGAAAGGTGACGTCAGCCCCAATTATAACTGGGCTGTGGTGCAGCACAAAATTAAGCTTCTTGAGCCGGCAAGGCCTGCCTACTGTCACAGGCAGCTGAGCGGCCCTCATTAGGGACCTTGGGGGTGAAAGGCAGCATCCTCTTGTGCATGGTCCTGCTGGCTTCCATATGCGTGCTGGATAAACCAGGAATTTAAAGAGGCAGCCTCTTTCCTTGCCGACTTACGGTGCACCTAAAATTCTGCAGCCCATGCGAGAGACCTGACACGTGTTGTGTCACTGAATGTTTATGACCAACCTAGGAGTGAACAGATGATCCCCATTCTGCAGATCAAGAAACTGAGAGGGAGGTCACGCACAAGGTCACTGCAAGTGAGGCTGCTGGGATTCAACCAGACCTGATCTTAACGCCCGTGCTATTTCACCCCAGCACGTCGCTTCTGAGGCAGAAATAAGTCCCTTCCTGGCTTTCCACTGCGAAACGGGAAAAGAAGTCCTTTAAAGGTATATTGCTTATCTCTCACAGCAATGCTCGCGCGTCAGCAGGAACAGCAGAGACAATATAACTCCACACCGCATTTCATTCTTGGGAGAAAGCTCCAGCAGTGTCTCCCCTGAGACAGAAGCCCGAGGTCTGAGGCCCCCTGGACACCAACCCCGAGGCGGCCTGCCCAGCCTGTTCTGGGAGTGGAGCTGGGAGCACCTTGTCTTTGGAAATCCTTGAGCCAGCTGTGAGGAGTGTCAGGTTGAGACGCACACGCCCACTGCATTCCATACGCAGGTGACAGTAAGCAACTCCCCGGCGTGTGAAAACACTCAGGCAAGGTGAGACAGGGGCTGTGATTTCATTTCTAGGGATGATGGAAAATCACTCAACACCTTCCAGGAGTGCCGCGTGGATGCCAAGGGACCGCTCTGCCTGGGTGGAAGAGACGCAAATGCCGTCCACAAGGAGGGGTCTGTTTTTCTTGGACAAAGGTGGCGCTCTACCGAATTCACCCATCTCCGGCCGAGCTCTGACGAAGTCCAAAGACTTCTCCATCTGACATGTGCATTAAGTCTGCAGAATCCTTACGAGTTACATGGAAAAGCTCGCGGAGTGGTGAATGGAAGGAAGGGCTGGGGGGTGAGAACTTTTTCAACAACATGAGTAAGTCCATCTTCAAAGGAAGATCTGTCATGTTTTACTACCAACAACTATTTTTACTGAGAGTAACTTCTCCCATCTCATTAACTCGTCAGGTAGGGCAGGGGAAGGAAGCCAGCGTCTCCGGGTCACCAACCTGGGCTCAGCCCCCCTTTCAGGCAAGCCCCTGAGCAGCTCTGCAGAGTGCGCCTAGCACAGCCCTGGGGTGTAACACGCACCCAGTAAACGGCAGTAGCCATTTTCATGGGAACACTTTGCAACAGCAGCGAGCTGAAATGCAAGGAAGCTTTCCAACCCAGGAGATGGTGGATGCTCCCGTGAACGCGGCTGGTAAAAGGGTCAAGCATCATCCGGGGCGCCTAAGCTCTCAGCAGCCTCAGCGCCCAGACCACTGAACTCCCCAGCCCCGCGAGCTGCCGTGTGTTGTGTCCACCACAGGAGGCTGGAGCTGCTGGATCGTGGACTTGTGGTAACCTCCCATGCAGGGTGTCTGCAGCAGAGGTGAAGCTGCCTCCCCAGGAAGACGTGCCACGTGTGCCACGAGACTCTCTCCTGTGGTAGTGACTGTGGCACCTGTTGGGTTGGACTCCTGACACCGACCCTGCTACCGTGATTATCATGGACTGGACAGGGGCCTCAGCCCTGGACAAGGCAACCTTGACAAGACTGGGCATGGGCAAGGCCAATGCCAGTCAGGTGCTCTTCACAAAATCCTGCCAACAGGTGTCCCGCCAGGTGGAAGGTGGCCGCCTCCCACAGCAGCCCCAAACACCTGCCTGCCTGGGCCAACAACTGCGCAGGTCCTGGTCCTGCTCTCGGGGAGCCTGATGTTGGGTTAGGAGGCCCAGACAAAGCAAGGGCACCAAGAACTGGGTGAGAAATTTTAGTGAGTGATGAGGGCTACAAAGAAGGGACTGTGGGGTAAGGGGAGCAGACCCAGGAAAGACCCTGCTGCACAGTAAGGAGGGGGTGGTCCCAGCCACGGGAGAAGCCAGGGCAGAGGTCCCGAGTCAGGAAGGGGCTTGGAGAGTCCAGACAGGGCCAGCGTGGCCAAGTACAGCGAGGGAGCCGGGCAGAGCCTGGCTGTGCAACCATCAGACATGCAGGCTGCGATGAAAATACTAAATTAAAAAGTATTACTTTGTTTGAAAAGTACTGCTTATTTGAGAAAGAGGGAGAGCGCGCGAGAGCCAATCAGGAATGCAATTCAGGTGTCTCCTGTGATTGACAGGTGCCCAGCTATCAGAGTCATCACCACTGCCTCTCTGGGTCTGCATTAGCAGGAAGCTGGAGTCAGGAGCTGCAGCTGGGAGCCAAACCCAGCTACTGCAAAGTGGGACATGAGTGTCTTAACTGGTGTCATATTTTTTTTTAAAGATTTATTTTATTTATTTGAAAAATAGAGTTACAGAGTTACATAGAGAGGTAGAGACACAGAGAGAGAGGCCTTCCATCTGCTGGTTCATTTCCCAAATGGCTGCAACAGCCGGAGCTGAGCTGATCCGAAGCCAGGAGCCAGGAGCTTCTTCTGGGTCTCCCACATGGGGGCAAGGGCCCAGGTACTTGGGTCACCTTCTACTGCTTTCCCAGGTGCATTAGCAGGGAGATGGATTGGAAGTGGAGCAGCTGGGACTCCAACCAGTGCCCATATGGGATGCTGGTGCTGCAGGCCAGGACTTTAACCCGCTGTGCCACAGCGCCTGCCCCTTAACTAATATTTTAACTGCTAGGCCCAATGCCTGTACCCGGAAGGTGATTCTAAGTGCAATGAACAGCCAGAGAGGCAGGGAGGCTGAGCAAAGGCAGGCCCATGACCTCATTTCTGATTTGAGATCGCCCTGGCCGGTTGAGAGACAATGGGTGAACGGAACGAATGTGAAAGTGCAGAATCTGTTCGCAGGCTCCAGCAGGCTGCAGCCCAGGTGTGAGGGGGCGGTGTCATGGGCTGGGGGCGGGGCCATGGCACGTGTGGCTGAGTGGCACTGGACATCCTTGTACTCCTGTCTCCCTGGGCAGTGCGTGCTCTGCCGTCCAGGTGTCCCTTTTGGGAGCTGAGATGCTCTGTACCCAGAGAGCTGTGTCAGTTAAGGTTGCGCCTCCTCCCTGGGACAGACTACAGCCAATAGGTGACTAGAAGGTACACACAGGGGTTGCTCACCGACCAGCATGCATCCTGAGAGATGTGTCCTGAGGTGATTCTGTCATTGTGCCAACAGCACAGAGTGCGTGACATAGACTAAGATGGCTATGATGTCGCTCCAGAAATCTCATAGAAAAATGGAATTGAAAAATGAGTGCATTTTGGTTTAAAAGTTGAGATCCATTATTCTCTCTCTCTCTCTTTCTAAATTTATTTATTTGAAAGGCAGAGTTACGGAGAGGGGAGGGGAGGGGAGGGGAGGAGAGGGGAGAGGAGAGGAGAGGAGAGGAGAGGAGAGGAGAGGAGAGGAGAGGGGAGGGGAGGGGAGGGGAGGGGAGGGGAGGAGAGAGCTTCCATCCCCAAATGACTGCAATGGCCAGGGCTGGGCCAGGCTGAAGCCAGGGGCCTGGAATTCCCTCTGGGTCTCCCAAGTAGGTGGCAGGGGCCCAAGCACTTGGGCCATCTTCTGCTGCTGTCTCAGGCACATTAGCTGGGAATGGAGCAGCTGGCACTCCAACCTGTGTTCCTATGGGATGCTGGTGTCGCAGGCAGTGGCTTAATCCGCTGGGCCACAAGGCCGGCCCCCATCGTGCTCTTTTTCATTGTACGACTTCCATGAACTTTCTGCAGTCTCCTGGTATTATCTTATGGGACCACTGTCCTACACGTGGCCTTCCACTGACCCAAATGTTGTGCAACTCCTGACTGTAGTTCTGGCCCCCTCGCCCCGGTGCAGGACAGCTGGGAAGGACCCTGGGCTCCAGGGCTCCCTGTGGGATTTGCTGAGGTCACCGGCAGCTGCATCCCATCTCCACTTGTCCCTCTGCCCAGCCCTGCTTTGCTGGCACCCCTCTGGCTTCCTGCTGGCATCCTTGATACACTTCCCGTAAGGCAAATCTTTGTCTGGCGTTTGTTTCCTGGGTAACACAACCTAAGATGCCTTGGCACCCAAGATCCCTGGGGCTCTCTCCTACCACCTAAAGGAGCCTGAGTGATAGCTGGGGTGGGAACAGGAGGCACTGGATTCTGAGCGAAGCTCATGAGGTCACCAGACTGGGTCAGCGTCACAGTGACCCTGCCATCTCCTCCAGGAAGTTCCTAAAACCCCGGCAGAGCCAGGATTCTTTCTGGTCCCTCCGCTCCCTACACAAGCAGGCACGTATCCATGGACAGTGTGACTCTCCTTAAGCTTTCGTCATGTGCACTCCCAGGGCTGACACACGCA